TTCTGTAAAAACAATATGTTGTTTCGAATTGCAATGCGACCAAATTTTGGTTGAGGGTCACTTCAGAAGTTCTTGATGAATGATCTTCGCACCTAGCTCAGTTGGTAAGGCACGGCATTCAGGAGGTCTTGGGTCAATCCCCATTGGCATCATGTACCTTCGTGGCCAAGCTTGGCGCGCGCCACCTAGAGATAGGCTGTTGGTACCCCTGAGCTGCGTTGAGCAGAGACTGTTGATGGTCGTAGGAGGAGTGGACAGGAGGGGGAGGTTCAGCGATCGAAGAAGCTCGGCCCTGATGCTTGTTGGAGGCATGAACACGGATGTCGCTGCTAGGGGGTTCCCCGTAGTACTATGATGACAACAAAAAAGGCCTGAAAGGCCATCCTGTGCAGATTCGACAGGTAAATGAATCGGTTGAACTAGCCTTAATTTAAAAAAATAAAGAAAAGAAAACAAAAATCAAACCAGAACATAGTAAATACCCCCTTTTCTTCAACCCCCTTTAAAACCCACGTATATCCCCCCATATCAAACCAGAACATAGTAAATACCCCTTTTTCTTCAACCTCCTTTAAAACCCACGTATATCCTCCCTTAGGGGCACTTTGCCCATGCCAAATATAATGCCCGGGCATTGTATTCGAAGGGGCATTACATCAAAAAAAGTGAGTAAAAACAAAATTCTGATTTTTGAAGGGTAAGTTGAATATAATGCCTGGGCGTTATTTTTGGGTGAACACGGTAGGCCTGATCTCTTCCCTGTCTATTCTGTCACTGTGCGATACGGGTATATGCCCCCCGTAGAGGCACTCTGCCCATGCCAAATGTCGAAGGGTCATTATATTTAAAAAAAAGCGAGTAAAGTTGTGTAAAACATAAATTGAAAAATCTGATTTGTTTAGGGTAAACTGAATATAACGCCCGGGCCTTATATTTGGGTGAAGATGGTAGGCCAGTTGGTCATTTTCTGATCTCTTCCCTTTTCTTTTTTTTTCTTTTTTTTTTTCAAGGACCAGACCGGCGGTGATTGGTTGCGGCAGCCAATGGTTGTCCTGACAGGATAGGCCACCTACCCTACCCATCCCCACATTAATACTCCCATCGCAACCCCTGTCCCTACTATCCTACCTCAGTGTGACCAGCTGTTACATGCTGAAAGCCTACACACGGGCCCCTCACGGGACCCGAGGTTGGAATAGGGCCCCCAGGTCGCGTCACCGCAACCTGAA